GGTTTCTCTGTTAAAAAGTCTCTTATAAGGCCACTACCGCACTACGGCCCAAAGTAGATTTTTTTTTGTTTTTCAAAGAAAAAAAAAAGGTTATTGTAATAACAAAAAAAAATTATAATTGGCAATCTAACCAAAAGTCCTAAAATAAATGGCTATTATTTTATCACATGGGGTGTTTTTGGTTAGATTGCCAATTATAAAACAATTTATGTCTATTGATGCCAATTTTCCAAAAAAAAAAATTACATGAAATACCATATTTCAAATATTTTTTCTTTCAAAAACTACCATATGTCAATATTCCATTCGGGAAATACCACAACTCCACCTGACTTTTACCCTTTTGCCCCTTTGCTCGGGTGGCGTAATGATAACAAGTGTTGTGTCAGTTTTCTTATTATCTCAAAACAATAAACCTCAGTTTTCTTCATCTCTCTTTCATATTTCTCTTCATCACTCACACAAATAAGAGATTTCTCAATATTTTATTTAACCCTCGAATTAATTCCATTTAATTATTTATTTTAAAATCCAAATACACTCTCTTTCACATTTAATGATTCCACTCAAAGTGTCATCATCACCACTCTCCTCGACACCCCTCTGACACAACAACGAAACCAGCGCCCAACACAACTCTCTCCTCTTGGGTATAAATGTATTTTTCCATATACCAAACAGTGAAATGTGGTATAATTCAAAAAGATTTTTTGACTTATGGTACTTTTTGAAAGTTTTTTTTGAGATATGGTAGTTTGAAAAATAATCCCAAAAAAAAATCTAATATTTTGGTATCCAATAAAAATATAGATACCACAAAGTTTCACTTAAATCATATCTGGTTTGGCTGTCCGTTTCGCTCCTCTACCGAAACAGGTCAGATCTGCCTCCTCCTACAAGGCAACGACGGCGGCTCTCTCACTCACGACGACGATGGTGGTTGGATTTCGGATTGTACAAGGCTGCGCCGAAGGTTCTCTTTATATAGCATTTTAAATCTTTCTCCCTTCTCTTTATATAGAGAATACGTAGGAAACCTTAGGTCTCGCAAAAAGAGCAAACAAGCCAGGATTGTAACCAAAAAGTAAAACGACCAAGTTAGGAGTGTTACGATTCTTCCTCACTTGAAAAAAATTTGTTTATCAGATCACGTGTATACACCTCCCCCATTTGATTTTAGACCGCCCCCAAAGTTTCTCTCCTTTGGTGAGTCTAAAGTGGTTTCCCGAACTTCTTGACAAAGACATAACAATTCAAATACATCCCCAATGTATAAGAAGTTAGCTATAACTCATTGTTCGAATACATTTCCAATGACCCAAACAAGTTTTTTACAAAAGAAACACACCTTCTTTCATAGGAAATAATCCATCTCTGCATCTTATTTCCATTATGACAATCGATAACATACGCACTTGTTTTCAAGTGTAACGCCCGTGAACCAAAAAGGGGATTTTTTGGGCATGTGTGTCGATCCACAGAGTAAAATCAGACCGACGGTTTCGGTTTCTGATTTGCCGGTTTGGGAAGCGGTGTAGGGGACACCCTAGGGTTTGTATAAAAGGCCTGGAACAGACGCGTGTTGGTCTCATTTTGGCCGAAAATCAGAGAAAGAGGAGGATTCGAGAGAGAATCAAGAGAAGTTGTGAGTTGTGTGTGATTGAGGGTGAAGGACAGCTTCTGTTCGAGTGTTTGAGAGGGNAAACGGCTGGGCAATTCGAGGAGGATTGGGGTGAAACTTTGAGGATAAGTTCTCCGATCTCTGGTCTCAATATGGGCGAAATCCGTTCGTCTTTTCGTTGAATATTCGTTGAGTTATGGCTGTTAGAACTCGATAGGGTTGTGCAGACTTGTTGCTGCGATCAGTCGGCTT